AAAAAAAAAAAATTACATAATTTATTGGAATTTTCAGATGATGACATCTTAAGAGTACCCTGCTCATTAAAACTATCATCAATCACAACACTGATCTCTTGACATTATTCTTTTTATAAGATTTGAAAAGATGTACAATAAAAGTGAGAGGCCAAGATATACCAATCATGGACAGGCAAAGAAGAGCATTGACCAAAGAAGCCAGTGAGAATGGTAAGAGTGGGAGCAAGGAAAGTAGGTAGACACCATCAGTGTGGAAAATCAAGCAGAAGGATTAAACTCAGTCAATGAAGCTTTACTGAACACTTTTTCAATATACCAGGTACAACAGTAGAGCTAAGAAATAGAGATGAAAAATAGTAAAAATCCCTCCTGCTCTAAAGTTCACTTATCTTCCAACCCAATAATCATATTAGGTCCCTATAAACCAGGCATTCTTAGAAGCTAGTTTGCACTGGTAAATACAACAGATACAATGGTTCTTTCCTTATGAGGCTTGCAATACACTGATGAAAATTAATTTATAAAGTAGCTTGAATACACTGATCAACACTTTTTATAAGTGTTATAGAAGGTAGGAGTAAAGATTAAAAAAAAAAATCAGGGACAATTGCCTGCTCTTGAGGAAGATGTTCAGAGCAGTTAGCAGTACAGCTATGTTTAGAACTCTGCCAGATATAAACATACACCTTTACATTTGCAGAGGCATGGCACACTGGACAAAACACTGATTTGAAATCCAAGCTCTAAGTCCTGACACCCTGTAAGAGAATCCTCTTATTTCTATGAGACAGCGTGATGAGCTCTTTCAACTGGGAATATCTAAGTTTGTGACGCAACAGCAGCAACATGCAGGGATAGCTAAATGGGTCAGCAAACTGCAGCCTGCAGACCAAATACAGCCTAACCTGGATTCTTACAAATCAAATTCTACTGGAATGCAACCATATTTGCTTATATGCTGTTGCTTATGGCTGAGCTGACCAGCTGCAACAGACACCATGTGGACTGCAAAGCAGGAAATACCAATCTTACGGCCCTGAACAGAAACTGTCAACTCTTGTTCTTAATAAAAAATAAAACACATTGTATACTTAGAAAGTTAAACACAGCTATATATAAAGTTTTTAAAAAACATACTTGTATCAAAACATATACAAGACAATTCTATATACTGCTGTGTACAATGCTTTATGTACTACGAAAATTTGAATAATTAACAAAAATTACTGACTAAAACAATGACTAAAGAAAAGCAGGGAATAACAGAAGATCATTAATGCCAATCATAAAGAAATGTGCCTGGCACTGTTTTAACAGAAATTTGCTCTGTTTTC